TGAAACAGCAGACGAGCTGAATGAGACGCAGATTCACTCTCTGCCAGCAGGTGGCGCTTAAAGCGTTTCCGCTGTAAACAAAGAAGCGCTGCACATATGAACTAGATGCAAGATGAAAAGAAAAAATACCATCTAAACTTTTCTAAAGACAGTATTTCCCCTCAGACATGCATTCATATAAACTCCTGCCCCTAAATAAATCGCGATTTGTTTAGCATCTCAACCGATTTGAATCGTCACATATTTGAATCGATTTTCAACCGGCTCGCGGTTAATCGTTACATCCCTAGTCTTAAGTGAACGTCAACAGTGGTAAAAGAAATCTCAAGTGCATCATTATATTGGATCCATGCATTCGGTCTTAAAGGGGCAGCAGCCTATAAATACCAGCTGTTCCATAAGCGCCACCTGCTGTCAGAGAGTGGAGATTTTTGTTTTGTCTTTTTCTTGTGTATTTTACATTTGCATGAAATGCAAATAATATCTAACAACTAATGAACAGCCCCTGTAACTGTACACCAGTCATCAACAACCAGCTGTTGTGGAGTTCCATCTGTCATATGTTCGACATAACTGATTTCCACTCAAATATAACAAGCAAAACACATACTGTATAATCTAAATATGACAAATTTTACCCTCAGATAAAGCACACGCAGACGTTAAGTCCAGCACATTGCTGAATATCAATGAGTGAGGGGGGGAAACAGGCGTTAATAAAAGGATGATTGTTGCCGCTGGCTGGAGTAGGCAGAGGCATGGATGGAATTGTGCCCCTATTTCAATGCATCTATTGCACATCAGCTGTAAGGGTTGTAACACATTCCCAAGGGCTAATTTTCTGGATTTGTCTATAGGATCCAGTGGACATAAAGAGCAGCGCAGAGCCGGAGCCGGAGGCTGAAGCTCTCGAACCCAGTCCTGTGGAAGCCGCAGAAGAAAACAACCCGTCAGAGGAGGTCAAAGCAGCAGAAAAGACAGTTATGAACTTTTTCAAAACATTTGTAAGTACATTTGAATTGCTTTGTTTCTTTTAATACTTTTGAATGCAGTTCTAATTCTCTTTCAAATGAAATGCATGTTTTAAACTAAGCTACAATGATCAATTTCAATATTATTGAGAAACGTAACCATGCAGTGTTCATGGAATATGAATTATAAGCATAACAAGTGTGCATTTGTCTCTAACTGAACAATCTAGACTTGTTGTGCCAGACTACAATGATGCATTTTTACTCCATCATTGTGGTGTTTGTTACACTGCATCTTTAATCTGTTAAACTTTGCTAAATCAATCCTTTGGACATGTCAGACTGTGGCAGGCTTTTGTTTGCTGCATAATGTGAGCTCACAAGGGAGGCCTGTGCGTTCGGAGTTGTGATAAAGCACGGGAAGGCCTACGCCATCTCCAGAGGACAATGGCTGACTCAATAGCAGAAACATGTTCGGATCGGCACCTGCCAGCGAGCTCTTTGTGTATCTGTGGCAAAGCCAGCTCGGCTGAACTGCGTCTGGGTTTGACAGACGCCCATTATATTTTTGATATCTCAATCTTCGATGAGTAGGCCCGGTTTGGAGACATGGAGTACCTGAAGGAGCAGTATATGCTTAAACACGCCACTCTGATGGTGTTTCACAGTCACTCTAATGTTTACGTGTCTCCGTTCTCTTTTCTGCATGCGAAGGTCACTCCGACCAAAACAAGCAAAGAAGCCAAAGCCACTCCTGATGCTTCAAAAGAGCAGGTAATAAAACCTTGACTGTCACAGCATTACTCATTCATATTCATGAGATATATTATATTATATTATATTGTATTGTATTGTATTGTATTGTATTGTATTGTATTGTAATTTTTAAGGTTTGAAATGATTGTCATAATATTATTAATATTATTATAATATAATATTATTCAATATTATAATATAATCTATTATAATATAAGGCTTTCATTTCTGCAGAGGATTGTTTTTAATAATTATTATAGGGCTGAATATTTTTAAAATGACTCATTTTTTATATGACTCCCTAAATTCATTCATTCATTCATTCATTCATTCATTCATTCATAATACATTTATAAATAAATAAATATAAAAAAATTTTTTATGTATGTAAGCTTTATTTATAAATTTATGAGTAAATATAAAATAAATACAAATTGTATTAAGTTATCAATGTATTTAAGCATGTTTTTATACAAATTTATGATATTCTATGACATTTTTTCATGAATAAATGCATATAACATAAACAATCAATTTTATTTATTTTTAATCTCTCTAACATTTATAAATAAATAAATATAAAAAAAAATTTTATGTATGTAAGCTTTATTTATAAATTTATGAGTAAATATAAAATAAATACAAATTGTATTAAGTTATCAATGTATTTAAGCATGTTTTTATACAAATTTATGATATTCTATGACATTTTTTCATGAATAAATGCATATAACATAAACAATCAATTTTATTTATTTTTAATCTCTCTAAGCATGCATTATTTATTTAAGCATGCTTTATAAATGTATTAATAAATACAATAAATACAAAATGTATTATTTTATTACATTGTTTGTTTATCTAACCATGCATTATTTATACATGTATAAGTAAATACATACAAAATAAATATAAAATATAATTATTTGTTTGTTTGTTTTTCTAAGGATGTTTCATTTATTTATGAATTTATGAATAAAATAGAAATTTAGAAAAAAAAAAATTATTTATTAATTGATTGTTTTATTTATTTATCTAAGCATGCTTTATTTATTTATGCATTTATGAATTTATAGTTTTATGCATTTATAGATTTATGTCTAAATAAATAAATAATTCAAGCTTAGATTTTTTGGGTGAAAAAAACCCTCTATATATTATAGCAAGATATAGTGATTAAATAATATTTATTGTCCTCATGTTTATTCTTCAGTCACAGAAAGAGACCCCACCAGCACCATCAACAGATGTGAGCCATTTCATTTACATCACATATTTTATTGCTTTTATAATGTTTTCACGTTTTTGCATAATTTTTCTAATTATATTTTCGCAAATACCATAAGCGATACAATAACGCCACAGGAAAGCTGCTGTAAAAAAGAATTGTTTTTGAGAAGTGCTTTGTTGACAATGAAGCATTATAAAAGAATAAATAAAAATGCATACCTACCTGCTGTTTTATGCTTGAAATAAAACAAACTGCACTCTTTTCTAAGGTACAGGAAGCACCCAAGGCACCTCCTCCTCCTCCCCCAGCTCCACCTAAGATGGAAAGCAAAGCAGAGCCGGCGGTGAAGAAAGAGGAAACGTCTGCAACAAAAGCAGCGGCAGCAGCTGCAACAAAAGCAGAGGGATCTGCCAAGAGCAAAACTAAAGACAGTGCATTAAGCAAACTCTTCCGTTCAAAGGTAAGCTCGAACCTGACAGCAGTAACAATAAACCACATTAATAAAGTCTTTCTGTCTGGTTCTGGGGTAGGCCTAGACTCTTATTATACATCTCAAATCTATATGTAGCGTATGTGGCACACTATAACAGAGTAATGTGAATTTGAGGTGTTGCTAGGCAAGGTGGTGTCAAAAGTTCAGGCGGCGACCAGCAGTGGAGCCAGAGCTAAGACGTCAGGAGTGGTAAATGATAACAAGCACAGGCTCTTCTGATATTAACAGAACTGACCCATTACTGTTAACTCCAGACATGCAAATTAATACAAAGAGCTACTGTTGTTTTTCCTTTTGTGTGAGAGAGCTGGAATCAGAGCCTAAATCTAACGTTTTGCCATACCTGCCAATGCCAAAATTTACTGGTCATAAACATTTTTTTACCAGCCATGAAACTGTATGTGCATTATTTCATTTAAAAAAACAGGCAGAACAAATTGGGGAAACAGATCTTATTGCTATAATAATAATAATAATATTAATAATAATGATAATAATAATAATAATTATTATTATTATTAAATATATTAATAATAATTAATAAATATAATTATTATTATAATTATTATTATTACTATTAATCAAATTATAAAGTTAATATTTCATGATAATAATTTGATTATATAATAATAATATTGTTATTGTTATTATTACTATTATTTAATCAAAGTATAAAAACAAATCAATAAAGAAATGCCACTATAATACTATTGAATTGTGAAATATTTCATGATAATAATTTGAATGTATATAATAATAATTATTATTATTATTATTTAATCAAATTATAAAAAGTAAACAAATTAATAATGAAATATCACTATAATATTATTGAGTATTTCATTATAATAATGTTTTTATTTGTATAATTAATTTAATAATGATAATAATAATAATAATAATAATAATAATAATTAGTAGTAGTAGTAGTAATAGTAGTTAATCAAAATATAAAAAGTAAACAAATCAATAAAAAATATTACTGTAATACTAATGAATTGTAAAGTATCTCATAATAATTAATAATAACAAGTAAATCATAATACCAATAAATAATAATGGTAATGATGATTGGCGCATGTTGCATTAATTATTCATGTTGTAAGAGACTCCAACTCACAGTTCAGATGGAGCAGCATTGACTGAAAACCGTGAAAGAAGTGCTTATTTATCAGATTATATATTTATTTATATATGTACAACTCAGTCTTTGCAATTTAATAATCACGCTAAACCATATCGCATTCTCTGGCATTGTTAGAATTAATAAAAAAGTTACCAGCCAACTGGCGTGCAACACAGTTTCATATACCTACCAATGCTGATCTTTACTCACATTTGGCGTATGGCGAGTGTTAATTGTAGGCTCTGGTTATAATGCATACAGGTGCATCTCAATAAATTAGAATGTCGTGGAAAAGTTCATTTATTTCAGTAATTCAACTCAAATTGTGAAACTCGTGTATTAAATAAATTCAGTGCACACAGACTGAAGTAGTTTAAGTCTTTGGTTCTTCAGAGGTAGAAAATGTGTTTGCAATGTTTTCCCACACAGGCATAATACATTATGCCATTCAATTAGCGGAAAACTCATTGGAAATAATGAATGAATCAGTGAAGGTCCATTATGGTGACATCATGTTGACAGCAGCCATTACCTCATGTCACAACAGCCGCCAACTAAACCATGTGACTCTCCATTCCACCACTTCATAACTGACATCAGATTTATCCAGCGACCGGAGGCTCTTGTAAGGCTTTGTGTGACCAGTGACTCAGTGTTTGTCCCTGCTAGGATAAACGGCCAGTGTAAAGTGCCATAGGAATTGTAGATTATTGCAAAATTAATGCCAATATGTGCTTGCCTGCAGCCTGTTGTGGTGGAAGAGAAAAAGCCGGTTGAGGTGCAGGTAAATACATTTAGCTGATCAATTGTCTCTTTGCACGGTGGTGGGACTGTCTTCCTAAATAAAATCATTCATCTAATATTTACACTTTTGTACTTGAACAGGGTATAAAGCAGTGTTGCATTTTTAGTAACATGTGAAGATTTTATCTAATGTTGCGCTTTTTTTTTTTTTTTTTTTTTTTTAACATCTATCCAACTTTTAAAATTATATAAAAGTGTCCAAACTTTGACTGAAACCTTTCTGAGAAAACTAATATTCTCAGTAAATGTTTACACAAATTATAGTTTTGGTTGTATTTATCAAAATCGGCCATTCAAGCCTGTTACCAAAATAGGTTTATGGGACAGTTTATGGGACATATAATTACATTAGTCACTATAAACCAACATTTGGTCCCAAAATATTTTTAAAAAAGATTTAGGCTTATCTTCAACCCTGTTACCTATTTTGGATTTTTGAAAATAAATAAATAAATAAAAACTTTAATAAAAAAACAAACAAACAAATAAATAAATAAGTACATTGCATTTAGCTTCCCATACAGCAAAAAATATATTTTCAAATATATATATATCTCAAAATATACAAAAAATGTCTAAAAATATATATTTGCTAAAATATGTTTCAAAATATATTTACATAAATATATTTTTGGCCATTTTTTGTATATTTTTTAATGTATTAAATGTATAAATATATTTTTAGAAAGCATTAAAAAAAATATTTTGCCATCTATATTTCAGTCCCAAAAAATGCCACGTGTCACATGTCACGTTTAAAGAAAAACTTGATTTGTTGTCTATAACGTGTGCAAACATATAACACATTTAAATAAAAATCAGTGAGGAACATAATTTAAAGTGCTCCAAAAATGCAATATTGCAATCTATAAAAATATGAAACATTATTAAATCATTATAAATCTCCTTTTGATCACTAGTAGGCCATCCATATTTGTATTTAGCCTAAATGTAGGCTACTGTAAGACTGGAAATTTATCTTCTTGCCCCTGAAATACATTTAGAAATATATTTTGGTATAAGGTTGAAAGGTTGGTACAGTATAAGGTTGAAACTAAATATATTATATTTTGGCCACACAAAATATATATATATATGTTTGTTTGTTTTTTTGCCATGTGGGGTTTTTTTTGTTAATTGTATTATAAATAAAAAGAAAACAAATATATAGAATACAAAAAGAATAGAAAAGCTAGCGTTATTTTTATTTTTTTAAAGAAAACAAGCAGTTAGTAAATGCAAGTCTAATGCAAGTCTTTTTTTAAAGAATAGAATTAGAATAGAGAGTGCTAGAGTTAGAGGGTCAAATAAAGAGATGTGTTTTAGCTGATTCTTGACTAAGCTGCTCGGATTGATTTGGGCAGGTCATTCCACCAGGAGGGAACATTTAATTTAAAAGTCTGTGGAAGTGATTTTTTGCCTCTCTGGGATGGCACAATAAAGCGAACGCAAGCTTCTAGAGGGCACATAAGTCTGAAGTAATGAATTTAGGGAAAGGGGTCCACGGTGCAGAGCTAGTGGTGGTTTTGTAAGCAAACATTAATGCCTTTTTATGCGAGCAGCTATTGGTAGCCAGTGCAAATTGATAAACAGAGGTGTGGCGTGCATTCTTTTCGACTCATTAAAAATTAATCTTGCTGCCGCGTTCTGGATTAATTGTAAAGGTTTGATAGAACTGGCTGGAAGACCTGCCAAAGCATGTTCCGAAAGAAAGGGCCTGATCTTCTTGATGTTGAATAAAGCAAATCTGTAGGACCGACAGTTTTAGCAATGTTGTCTGAGAAAGTCAGCTGATCATCAATCATAACTCCAAGGTTTCTGGCTGGTTTTGAAGGAGTTAAAGGAGTTATGTCTAACTGGATGGTGAAACTGTGATGAAATGATGGGTTTGATGGAACCACAAGGCTAGGAAGGCTAGGTGGTGATGGTCCTTCATCCAGAAAGAAATGTCAGACAAGCTGAGATGCGAGCAGCTATCGTCGGATCATCAGGATGGAATGAGAGGTAGAGTTGAGTGTCATCAGCATAGCAGTGATATGAAAAGCCATGTTTCTGAATGACAGAACCTAGTGATGCCATGTAGACAGAGAAGAGAAGTGGTCCAAGAACTGAGCCCTGAGGCACCCCAGTAGCTAGATGTTGCGACTTGATGACCTCACCTCTCCAAGATACCTTGAAGGACCCATCTGAGATGTAAGACTCAAACCACTGGAGTGCGGTTCCTGAGATGCCCTTTGCCAATAGGGTTGACAGGAGGATCTGGTGGTTAACCGTGTCAAA